AGTTTTTATTGTAAAAATGTTAACTATGATGAAACAAGGATAATAGTTTTCAATAAAAGGACCCACCTTCATAAGTGGACAATGGACTGGAACTCATTTGAACAAGTGACCTCTTTTAAATATCTTGGGATAGTCTTTCACCTCAATTTTATGGTACCACTGTGGTTGTACTGTAAGATTCAAAAGAAAAGAGAGAAAAATCTTCACTCATGTTTCATTGATTGTTGGGGGAGGACTGCAAAATATGGTGAAAATGCCCACTCATTCAGAGTACAAGCACACAGAATTGACCTCACTCTGATTTTGATTTCCTAAATCACAGCGTGACATCACAGGAAAACTTAATCACAGTAAGCTCAATAGTTCCTATTAGGGGTATGTGCTTGGCATAAACCAAGGTGAAAAAATATCTAATAAAGACTTTATTGGTATTTATCAGGCATTTTCTCAGCTGGTTACTGAGTGGGCTGCTGATTCAGCTATCTGAAAATGGCCGCCCAGGAAAATCCCAAATATTCAGGATTTTTCAGGGCTGCCAGATAGTTAGTGTTTAAAACGATTGCCTTCCCTTTAAACACCTTCTGGGTGAACTCGCTGCTTTTGAATTCACTTGCGGAATGGCTTTTTGCAAACCGTGCCACAACTGAACTTCAAGCAGTGAGTTCTCCATTATACCCTATGGGGACCATTATAGTCAATGGTCCCCATACGCTATAATGGAGAACTGAGCCAGGGGTATCTGGAGTTGGAGGGGGGGCTGTTTTTTGAGGTAGAGGCACCAAATTTGCAGCACAGCTGCTGGTGCATTTCCTTAAAAAAACAACCCCAATTTTTGAGAACATTGGACAATGGGGTCCAATTCTATGAGCCCCAGAAGAAGGTGCCCCCATACTCCATTGTTTCCATTTAAAAAGAATGTGGCCCTTTTACATGCCTTTTTCAAGCCCCACAACAAATTAACCTTGAAGTGGCGAGTTCACCTCACCTTACGGGTGCCACTGAAAGGTGCCACTGGTCAAACTTGTTTTGTTGCTTCAGAGTTAACTCTTGCCACAGCTTGGAGAAGGCATTAAAAAGGACCACATCCCTTTAAAATGCCTTTCCCCCCTCCATTGGAAATAATGGAGGATGGGAACATATTCTTCTGGGGCTCATAGAACTGGACCCCCTGGTTGAATCTTTTTGAGATTTAGAGGTGTTTTTTAGGAGAGGCACCAGCAGCTATCCTGAAAATATGATGCCTCTATCTCAAAAAACGGGCCCCCAAAGCCCCAGGTACACCCAGCTCGATTCTCCATTATAGCCTATGGGGACCATTGACTGTAATGGTCCCCATAGGCTATAATGGAGCCAAAAAAATGACAATCCCAAATATTTCCTATATCCCAATACCATACCAATATTGGGATTTGGGAATATTTGGAAATACTGATATTTTGGATTCAATATACCCAAACCCAAAAAATACCAATTTTTTTGTGCACAGCCCTTGTTCTTATCTTCAGCTCTTTTGACTTAAAGATGTTGTCATGCAACCATATCTGTGATATAATTGCATTGCATATATGATCTCTGGTTGCTTAGAACATTTTTTTCCCCTTAAATATTGGTTCACATCAGGGAAAGTAGCAGCTGCAAAAAGCATGAGTAGGAAACATTCACCCACAATTGTCAAAGGTAACAGTTTCGCTAAGCCCAACTACATTGCAGGGTTTTAAAGTCTTGAATATAACAGATCCTAGCTAGTATTCTCTGTATCAAAATTGTCATGAGGATCCACTAGGCATGAAACCTTTTCATGAAATCCTGCATTCTTTTTCCAGTTTTCTTTTATCACAGTTACTTTGTGTACTTATACCACATAAATGCAAATCTCAATATATCCACAATTGCAATATTCAATCAAATTATCCCCTGATATATGTCAGCATGTCCTAAATGATTTTGGCCCATTTTTTACTATCTTTGCTGTTCCAAATAAATGATCTGTGAAATCTAGTAATTACAATGACTTCCCTTGCCAGATCAGTGAAGTATCAGTTAAGGGTCGGCATTATAACAGCAACAAATTAATCAGGAAAGCCAACCTTCAAGCTCATCCACACAATGACTTCAGTATGGAATGGCCCCCGAATGCCTCTTAATTTGCCTTTTCTGCATACTGTAGCTGTATCACATCATGGGACATTAAGCATATTTCAGCTTGCAGGACTGACTCAGTTGTGTTTTTCGATATTGAAAACAAATGTTTCAACTGGATGAATGATAACATTGAGGCAATTACAATTTCCTACTAGGCATGCTTGTTTAATGGCTTGCATAGTCTTTTGGCTTGTAAACATTGCCATCTTTATTGCTAACTGAAATAGAAGGGGGGGGGGTTTCTCCCCAGCTGATAAAGTTTGGAAGCAATTTTGCTTGAGTAATGTGAGCTAATGGAAGTTGGTACAAAATGTAGGCTGCATTTTTGTCTCAGACTTCATGACCCTACAGCTTCATCCTGGGAACCAGGTTCTTCTTTCCAAGCGGATGTAGCCTCCCTCCATAAAGTCGACAATGCCTAAGCCTAATTAGCTTCCAAAAGTAACATAAAATACACAAATGGGGATATAGATATATTCAAACTTCTGAGGTTCACAGAACTTTTCACCAGTCAGAATTGTGTCTGGAACTGTGAAGACATTTTGTCCAAAAAAAGAGATTTTTTTTCACACTTCCTACTCATTAGGTCAATATATACTTACTTCCCAAACAAATTATTGTTCATTTATAAAGTAATTGAATAATAATTATTTGAATAATTTATTTATAACTATAAACATGAGCTCATTAACAAATGTATATCTAAATATCTTATATTTTATATCTAATTTATATATAATTCTTTGTGGCCAGCAAGGAACAATAAACAATTAGTTGTCTGTCTTTAAATATTATGGGTTAAATCAACATAAGAACATAAGAGAAGCCAATGTTGGATCTAGGGTTGCCAAATGTAAAATCCCTACCGGCGGGGGAGCGTCCAGCCGGTCCGGGAGTCGTCTGGAAAAGTGCGGAGCCGGAGCCGCCGGAGCGTCACCCGGAAGTGACGTCACACGCTGGGCGGGGCCACGCCATTTGAGGGGAAAACAAAGAGTTTTCCCCTCAAATGGTGTGGCC